AATTGGCTTGTTTTCCTTAATGTTTTCAGTCCATTCCACGTTCACATCAGCACATTTAATTTAATCACAAAAAGGTATACTCGACGGGAAATAATTAACCGACGTTACGTTTATTGGTAACATCCTGTGTGGCAATTAAGACCTTAACACTTGATAAAGAGCTGTTCCACTTTACACGCAGATATATTTAATTATTGTTAATTCATATCAATATAATTATTGAATACGATTTTATACTGGTATTTAATATCTGACGAAAATACGAATTTTTAAATATTTATTGTTGATAAAGGGTAAACTGAGAGGAAAAATCCTACCCACGTTAATTTCGTTTGCTCGGTTTTGGCGAAATTTACCCACGAGCTTAAAATTAAATATATATCTAAAATTCAGTACGTGAATTCGTTTATTTTTTTTTTTTTCTTTTTCATTAGGTATGTGTTATTATTTCTAGCACAGTGTCTATAAAAATAAAATAGTTGGAATTAGTGACATTTTGGGATACCTACACCGTCGGCAAATCCCACTTGTATAAATGATCAAATTCCTTTTTCTAATTTAGAATTGGTTTGTTGACATGCAGGCGTTGAATTAAACTTGAACACCGTCCAAAGTAAAAGAAATTTCCGCTACAATAAAAATGAGGCATAATTTAATTTTTTTTATCGTAACATTAAATGAAATTCAGTGGTTTAGATAGCGGAAATGTTACGTTTATAATTCTAACAATATTATGAAATAAATCGATCAAATTTCTTAGAATCTCCTCTAGAATTGCACACGCCAAACTTTGCTTGATGATAGAAAAAAAAGAGTTCACATAAACATAGGTCGTAGAAATATCTCTTAAAATGATCGATGTAGATTGATAAACTTGGAGTAGCTATTATGAACAAAATTTTGCTGAGTTCGTATAATAATACGAATACCGTACCTAATACCATCACTAAGAATCCTGGAATTTCGAGGCCAACGAATATTTTCAAAATTAAGTGCATTTAGTTCCGCTTGGTGTTTCAAAGAAAAATATGTTTCATTTTATTCCAAAATCGAGTAATTTATGAGTAATTATTATTTTAAAATTAAAAATAAGCTTTCGACATGCCTTTAAATAAAGAATTAGTTGAATAAACTGAAAGTACTCCACGTGAACAATTTACTTATATGAATTTTAGAATATTGGTAATTAAATAATGAAATAGTGTTATTATAAAAGTCCGAAGAATCGTAAAAAAAATCATTAGCGTAGGAACGTTTCGAATGGATAATCTCGGAATTTCTATATTTTTTTATGTAAAACAAATGTGAAAGGTTTTATTTTGTAAAAGTATAACTCCGAATAAAATACTTATCAAAATTCCTACGTCAATGATTTTAGACATTTAAATTTGTTTTTCCAACAAAATATTGCCATAGGCTGTATTTGTAAAATGAATGGTTTTTGAGTAATTTTTGATTTACTCACCCATGTGGTAACCGTTAAATAGAATCTGTAGGATACTCAGTGGCGTAGAAATTGTAAGGTCCTTAGTGATACTGACACCATTTATTTTTGCCGTTGGTTGACGTATTTGTAGGTAACTTAGCAAATGTTTATTTCTAATTAGATAAATTAAATAACCAAGTTTCATCAATCTACGTCAAACATCGTGACGGGTATTTCAGAAAATGCGATCTTTTTTCCTAATTTCAACACCTTATATCTCGAAAAAATAGAGTTCTATAACCCACGGTCATATGAAATTGCTTAAAATTATTCATTCATTCACCTGGTGAAATTTACTGTTTAAAATTTGAACCACCCTGTATATATAAATATATTTTTATTGTTACTGTATTTACTTACAATGAAACAAAATTAGTTTTACAGTTCAATAGCAGTTATATTTATTTCATATTTGTTTCAAAAGTATAAAGCAGTAACTACATAAGCAACACACTTTACAGATTTGCTATTAGAATTAGTCCCATTCCATAACAATCCGACTACTTAAAAATTTCAAAGAGAAATAGAAAATACATTTGAGTAAAATACCAATAAACATTTATTAAACATCTATCCATATATGTATATTGGTAACCCACTGAAAACAATTATGTCACAACTGTCACTACCTGTGGTTTCCACATTTACAATATATATTATGTAGGTCAGAGGCGGACTGGCTAGATGAACAGGCCCGGGAAACATTCATCAAGCGGCCCGTTGTTTGAAAGTTTCAGAATTTATTTTATTTTAAATAGGCTCTTCGTGAATGATTTATTTGAAATATTTGAAAAAAGTTAGCCATAGATAATTTGATATTGTTTTAAAAATAATTAATCTCACAATTTGTTTGTAGATAAAAATTAAAATCTTAAATTAAAATAATTTAGATTTTTTTAAAATGGATGAGTAGTAGTTGGAAGGTATAAGAAGTTAAAGCATTATTATTTTTAATAAATAAATAATCATTAAAATATATATTTTAATGATTATTTATTATATATTTTTCCTAAAAGGAAAAAAATGTCTGTAATTAAATATTTTACAAAACATTACTAGTTACAAATCGGAATTTTTTTGGGGTATTTAAATTGGGTATTGGGACCTTTATACTTGGCTCAAGAAAACTACATGTTATGTAGAATCATCATACCAAATTTCATCAAAATCGGTTCTATAGATTTTGCATAATAATTTTGCAATCCAGATTTTGAAAAAAAAATTGCAAATTTTCAAAATTTTGCACAGCAAAAACCAAGGTCCTTATAGATACTTGAAAATTTAATCACATATCGAAGGGCTCTCAAGCTTTCAAACTTTCTTTCGAATTCGTCAATTAGGAGAGCTCTGGCGCTTGTTTAAACATTGGTCGAATTTTTGTACTAAAAAACAATTAGAATAACT